ATCAATAGTCTATGTTTTCTGAATAAATCACTCAGATGACAATAGAAACACCACAGAGGGAAGAATTGTATTGCCTGGGAGTGGCCATAAAAGTGGAAGAGGATATTTTGGGTATAGGCAATAGCACAGGTAAAGGCATGGAAGAGAAGCATGATCTACTCAGGAACTACTCATTCATCCAGTGGAACTGGAAGAGTGAAGGGGTTAGGGCAGAAAGAATAGGGAAGAACTGCAGAAGATGGCATGAAAGGCTTTGAATTTTAGGCCAGAAGTTAGACTTCAGCCTGTAGACAGTAGTTTCTGAATGTTGGTACATACAGTTATCACCAGCATGACTCTTAGATAAAGATCCTACTCATGGGCCTAAGAGGTCAGTGAGCTCTCCCTTCAAGGCTCCTACAGGTGGATACTTGCCTTATGATCAGGTCGTCTTCACCCACATGTATAAAGCAGGAAGTAAAACTGAAGATGGCCTATGGACTACTGAGCCTACCTCATCCAGTTTAGTAAGAATAGTCCCAATTCAGTGAGAAAATATTAAAATAACAAGACTTTGACTTACATATACACCTGCAAAACAATTGCCACAAGAAAATAAACACACAGTTGATCTTCGGTATCTTAGGGTTCTACATCCATGGATTCAACCAACTGCAGATCCAAAAGATTTTAGTCAGGATGCAGTGACTTAGGCCTGTAATCCCAGGGCTTTGGGAGACCAAGGCAGGCAAACTGTTTGAGCCCAGGAATCTGAGATGAGCCTGGCCAACATGGTGAAACCCTGTCTCTACTAAAAATAAAAAAAATTAGCCAGATGTGGTGACACACACCTGTGGCCCACTAATTTCAGTTTTTGGACAGGCAAGATCTAATTTGCACAGGCTGGTCTCAAACTCCTGGGCTCCAGCAAATCTTCCATCTCGGCCTCCCAAATTGCTCAAATTACAGGTGTGGGCCACCATGCCTGGCCAATTTTTTTTTTTTTTTTTTTTTTTTTTACTTTTAGTAGTGATGAGGTCTTGCAGTCTTGCTCTGTTGCCAGGCTGGTCTCCAACTCTTTTTTTTTTTTTTGAGGCGGAGTTTCGCTCGTTACCCAGGCTGGAGTGCAATGGCGCGATCTCGGCTCACCGCAACCTCCGCCTCCTGGGTTCGGGCAATTCTCCTGCCTCAGCCTCCTGAGTAGCTGGGATTACAGGCATGCGCCACCATGGCCAGCTAATTTATTTTTATTTTTAGTCGAGATGAGGTTTCACCATGTTGACCAGGATGGTCTCGATCTCTTGACCTTGTGATCCACCCGCCTCGGCCTCCCAAAGTACTGGGATTACAGACTTGAGCCACCGCGCCCAGCTGGTCTCCAACTCTTGAGCTCAAGTGTTCTCCTGCCTCAGCCTCCCAAAATGCTGGGATTACAGGAGTGAGCTACTGTGCCCAGCCCCAGGTACCTTTTTGTAGGAAGAACTGTTCTGAGATTACGGCTGTGGCAAATGACATTGGTGTTTCATTCGTATCTCCATGCCTCTGTCAGGGAGCTGCCCAAACCCAATTTACCTGGCTTAAACAAAGACTAATTAAAAAAAATACACACACTACGGCTCCATTGCCCCTCATCAGGGCAACTTTGAGGTGTGGCCCACACTCTTTCTACCGTTCCCTGTGAGTCTGAAAGTTCCCCTTATGGGATGTGACTTGATAAGCATCCAGCTTGGCTTCCTTCTCTTCTTTTCCCTGTCTCACTTCCCTCTCCACTCCTTTACAGGGTTTTCGTGGAATCATTTCCCAGGAAATCATTTTAAGAAATAACTTAGGCCAGGCCCAGAGGCTCACACCTGTAATCCCAGCACTTTGGGAGGCTGAGGCAGGTAGATCATGAAGTCAGGAGTCCAAGATCAGCCTGGCCAACATAGTGAAACCCTGTCTCTACTAAAAACACAAAACGTTTGATGGCAGGCACCTGTAGTCCCAGCTACTTGGGAGGCTGGTGTGGGAGACTCGCTTGAACTGGGGAGGCAGAGGTTGCAGTGAGCTGAGACCACACCATTGAACTCCAGCCTGGGTGACAGTGAGGCTCTGCCCCAAAAAAGAGAAAAAAAGTAACTTAAATGTTAAACGAACAGAAAAGCTTTTGGCTCAAATCAGGCACCAACCAGCTTCATACTGTTATTCACTGCATTGCATGTGAAATAAATCACCAAAATATTGGTGCTTCTTTGAAATGGGAAGTCCAACTGTGAGGCCTAAGGGCCTGTGTTGGACTTGGATCCTGGTGAGGGCTCCTACAGCCTAATGACATCTGACCCACTTAAATGTCCCACCAGATGAGCCTCCAACCCTTTCTTCCCCTCGCTAGCTGAATTCCTTTGCTCATAGCACAATTCTTTATCTTGCTAGGGCTCACGCCATAGCCTGGTACTCTAGCATTTGTTTCCATGATTCCTAAACTCTTAATTTCCCTCAGCTGGCTGACTCTCCAGTGGCCCTAGTCTTCCACAAAGTGGTCCAGACTGTAGACCAGGCGTCCCCAAACTTTTTACACAGGGGGCCAGTTCACTGTCCCTCAGACCGTTGGAGGGCCACCACATACTGTGCTCCTCTCACTGACCACCAATGAAAGAGGTGCCCCTTCCTGAAGTGTGGTGGGGGGCCAGATAAATGGCCTCAGGGGGCCGCATGTGGCCTGCCAGCCGTAGTTTGGGGACACCTGGTGTAGACCTTCATGCCATGGAGCTAGTGCTCCTTATTTCCTATGAATGGCCATGTCCAGCCAATCTCTCAAACTCTGGCAATATGATGAAATGCAAAGCCTTGTAAGATAAGGGAACACCCTGCCAGATGTGGAAGGCAACCTGAACTCCCTCCCTAGTCAAACTAGGGGTTTGAACTAGGGTTTCTCAACGTTAGCACTTCTGACATTTTGGGCTAGATTCATTGTGGGAAGCTAGTTTGTGCACGCTGGATATTTAGCAACATCTCTGGCTTCTATTCTCTAGATGACAGCAGCATCCTCCTTTTTCATGAAAGCAAAGCATGGTAATATCAGGGGAACAGGACAGCTATAAATAAACGAAGGGCTCCCTTAGATGGTATGTAATTTTTTTGTTGGCAGAATAATTTTCAGTTGTTTCCTATGAGACGCTTCTTTCTACATCTTTTAAAAACAGATTTTCCCAATATTGCTAACCTTGTCTCTCCTTACACAAACATACCCATACCAATCTTTTCACTGCAGCACTAATGAATAATGTTTCTTTGCTGCCCATCAGGCAAAGAGAAAAGGGAATGGCAATATTCCATGTGATTGTGGGAATGGGGAGACGAACACTCACAAAATGCCAGGGACGTATAAATGATTAGGAAAGAATCTGACTTGGGAATATGATTTGGTAACATGCACTGAAACTTTCATGAAATATATGCATGCTCTCTGACCCTAAATTCCATTTTATCACAATTGAACAAATGGAGAAGATATGACATAGAATGATTTTTCAAAAATAATAAAAATTAGAAAATGTTCAACAGGAAGCTGACTAATCATGACACAGCCATATCGTAGGATATTATGCAAAAACATAGACATATATTTGTTCTCAATGAAAGTGAAAAAACAGGTTACAAAACAATGTATATATAGGTATAGAAAATAGTATGAAAAAATAGACACTTAATAACTTTAACTACATTTTTGAGTGTAAGAATCATGTATGATTTGTTTTTAATATTTTTTCCCCTTACAATGATTACATGGTTATCTTTACATAACAGAAAAATAAAGAGTTACTAATAAGTACTGCAAATAGCAAGGTCCATGAAAGCAAGACTTTCCATGGAGAAAAGGGAGACTGGTTTCCTTGCTCTATTTTGAAAATGCTATACAAACCAAGGTAGAATCCAAGATAGGAGCCATTCAAGCTTGGAAGTCTGCTTGAAACATTGCCGCTTTCAAGAAATCAAAAGTGTGGCCAGAGGTAAGATGTTTAGAATCTTCTCAATCCTACCTGTTTTGGACATTTGCTTTTCTTCCCTTGTACTTATCCATGTAAAGTCTTACTTGATTAATGGTTGAATCTACATATATTTTGAATTCCCCATTCTTAAATGAACAGAGTCTGTATGTTAATAAACTGACTGACTCACTTTAACTGAACACTTGGTGTAAGAGCTGAGGGGCAAGGGAAATGAAAAGGAAATGAAGCACAGGATCCTCCATGTTTCTGTTCTTCTCTTACCAGGAAATGAAGACTGTATTTTCATGCCCACAAGTGAAATAGTCCAGTGTCCTTTCTTATCTGAATGTAAATGCATGGACCCAATGGGTAAATTACACCCTAGAACAAAATGTTTGTAAGTTTTGGGAAAAAATAAGATATTGCACAGAGACAAACAGGAAAAAAAAAAAAAAAAAAAAAAAAAAGTGCACCCTTTCTCTCCTGCTCCAAACATCTGCTATGTATGAAAGAACCTAAAGAATGGCAATCCCATTTCTGCCCTGAAAGGATGCCTTAGGATCAGAAGGAGCACTTGTTATACCATCTCAGTAATAAGCCATGCTTGCCCCAAGTCTTACCAGAGAATAATGCCAATTATCTCAAGGCTTTGTACTTCTATGAAACTTTTACTTCCCAAAGAGTAAAATACAAATTTAAGAACCTGACATTATAAAATTATCCTATTTAATTGATTTCATATCATTTTATTCTGGCAGAGAGCTTGAGCTTGGGCAACAATGGCATTTTTGACTCCAGTCTATGGGGATTTTATAACTTTATCCACCTGCCCAGCACAACTATGCCGAGGCTGGGAGTGACGGCTCACACCTGTAATCTCAGCATTTTGGGAGGGCGAGGCAGGAGGATCACTTCAGCTCAGGAGACCAGCCTGGACAATACAGTGAGACCTTGTCTCTACAACCAACCAACCAACCAAACACAACTATGCCCTTTGTCACTCAAACGCTCTCATTGTCTTTTTACATAATAAACACATTTATTTATTCTGTTTCAGATATTTTATTTTTCTTACTCTGACATTAGGCTATGAGAAGTACAAAAGATCCATAAGTAAAAAAAAATTCTGTATAGCTTTGTAGTTAAAAAAATGCAAGAGAACAAAAACATTTTTTGAGTGATATTCATCTCTACAGATCTGAGTGACAGTCCACTTGAAACACTGCTGTAAAAGTGGTAAAAAATGATTTCATTGTGATTATGTTAAAATTTTTGATGTTTCTTTCACTTGTTTTAGGAAATCTGCCTTTTGACATTTATACTGGATGGATTCTTTACTTGTATTTTGCTGAAGCCCAATTCCCTGCCTCTTCAGGGCTTCAATAATGACAGTTTTGTTTTATAGTCAGCTTGTGATATTTTGCCCAAAGGAAGATTCTGATAACAGCTTCAGCAGCAAGAAAAGCTGATGAATTTATAGTTACTGTCCTTTCCAATGTAAAAAAAAAAAAAAAGTTGAAAAATATTGATGACTTTTTCTTAGTGTTAATTTCTCTTCCTGCAAGGATTTAATTTCATACTCATGTTGAGGATGAATTACCTTTGATGGGTTTTTTCTTTTCCCAATGTATTTTTAAAAAGCTTTCTTGAAAAGATGAATTCTTCCTATTCCTAGGATTCCGAGTAAAGATGACATATTGGAACAAGAGAAGTCCAGGTTTATCTTTCTACTTTCTTACCTAACAACCCGTTGGACACAGAGAATTGAGATCTCCATGGATGGTCACCAACTCTAGGAATGGCTGAAATTAAAAAAAAAAACAACCAAAACTCACTTTATTTAATCCAAGATAATAAACACACTGCCAAAAGGTTATAGACACACAGGCCAAATGAACAACGGAAAGCCACATCAGAGGCTGCCTCAAAGCTTAAGACTTTTTTTTCCTCTGCTTAATAAGAAATAAATTATCATTGTCATCATCTTCCAAACACTTCTCCTTTTTTTTCTGCTTGCCCCTCTTGCCCTCCTTGGGATACTTGTCTTCTCTTGATGTGTGGTAATGTGATGAACGGTGAAAGGGTCTGGAAGGCTTCTGGGTTTTAAAACTGCCAGGAGAGGAGTAGGTTTTGGGGCCCCTGGGATAATCTTCATTCACTTCACGATGTCTGTCAGCCCTCCTGTGCTTCCCCCAGTTTCTATTCTTGTTCTTCATTTCTTTTTGTGTGTCTTTATTTTCTTGAGGCCACCTGTTGCTTTTCCTCGAGGCATGACCCTTTCTTGTATCATGGTAGAGGTTCTCATTTGCTCCTTCTGTGTAAGGCAGCATGGATGGCTCTGGGAAATCCCTGTTTTTCTTTAGTACTGAAAAATACAGAAGTATTTTTGCATATTCAGCAGCTAGACAGTCCATGCTTAGCTTTCCTAAGTGTGTAAATAACTTGGCAGACAGGAAAGCTAGACATTTAACTATGTTATCAATATGACATCACTAAAAATTAAATAGTTGAAGTTCTACATTTCTGATTGCTAAAAATGAAACACACTCAGAAATCCAATGATAGTTAATTATTCTTTTCAACAGTTTAACGAGGTTAAAAATGGAGACGAAGATCAGTAAGAAGAGTAATCATCTTAGCTTTGTGAAGAAAAGTCATGTCTGACCAATACAAGTTTCCCCAATGATAAAGAGACTACCTTTGAAAGTAAGGCAAAGCAAGATGTATAAAATGGCCTTGTGATTATAGGGTAATTGAAATCTCATATGACATTTCAATTACCCTATAAAGATAAGGACTGACCCAGTACTTTTAGGTGATGCCAAACTGCCCAAGAGGTTATTCCTCCAGAGTAGAGATCACTGGCTTTGAGGAGTGTGTGCGAGTGCATGTGCGTTCAAGTATCTTAGAGGCTTTAGTAACAAAGCTAATGTGTTTTGTCAGAACTTGACACAATACGAGTGTCTGATGGCAGTCATTCTGATACGGGTAGGTGGGAGGTGAGGTTACAGTGAGAAATGAAAACTAGCAGGTCAACAGAATATTGAAAGATTAAAAAAGTAGCCAATAAAAACTTTTAGCATAAGATTTTTAGTATAAAAATTTCAGGATCATAGTGAACACCTCAAAGTGGATTTATGCTACAGATGTTGATACAACTAGCTAAAGACGAAAACAAATTGTGCCTGATTCTAAAAGTTGTAACTACTCATTACAGAAAACTTGGAAAAAACAGTAAAGTATAAAGAACAGAAAAACCAGAAAGCACACATAATCCCTTAGAGATGACATTTTCATGCAATTCTTTCTAATCCTTGTCTAATTTGGTTGCCTAAGCACAATCTTCAACTACTAGAATTTCTCCATACAGTTGACCCTTGCATAATGAGTTTGAACTGCATGGGTCCACTTATATGTGGATTTCTTCAACCAAATGCGGACCCAAAATACAGCATTCCACAGATTAGAAACTTGTGTATATGAATGGCTACCTTTTCCAATACTTGGGTTCTGCAGAGTAGACTATGGGATATAAGCAGGTGCAGATTTTGGTAAATGAGGAGGCTCCTGGAACCAGTATCCAGGAACAGCTGTAGATGACATACATTTTACATTAAATGTGTAATATGCAGGAGCTGGGAGAGTAATTCCTCTTCTTTCCTCAGAATTAGTACCTTCACTTTGGAAATGTCCTGAACTGAGAGTCCAGAAAAGAAAAAGGCCAAAAGAGTCAGAAAATAAGCTATAGAAGAAACTGAAAAATACCAAACTATTTTGTTTTTAAAGCAAGAATATAACTTGGAAAACTACCTGGAAGTATGTAATAAGAAAGAACAGAAGCAGAGAAAATAAGCAAATGATATTAATTTGGTGATGAAGAACTATGTTTGCAACAGTAAATACAGAAACCATAGACGCAGATGTGAACTTGGAGCTCTGCTTGCAGTGGTGGCCTATAAGACATGAGTTCTTCGGCTGGGCGCGGTGGCTCATGCCTGTAATCTCAGCACTTTGGGAGGCCCAGGTGGGTGGACCATGAAGTCAAGAGATTGACACCATTCTGGCCAACATGGTGAAACCCCGCCTCTACTAAAAATACAAAAATTATCTGGGCATGGTTGCACGTGCCTGTAGCCCCAGCTACTGAGGAGGCTGAGGCAGGAGAATCGCTTGAACCCAGGACACACAGATTGCAGTGAGCTGAGGTCGTGCCACTGTACTCCAGACTGGTGACAGAGAGAGACTCTCTCAAAAAAAAAGAAAAAGAAAAAAAGAAATGACTTCTTCAGGGAAGCTCCAGGAATAACTTACCAGGAAAGCCTTTCTTTCCATAAAAAAATACTGGAGACATACACATGGAAAAAAAAAATTACCTGTCAAACAGAAAAATCTCAATGGATTTTTCATCTATCTGCATACATAGATGGATAGTGGTCTTTTCTGGACATTTTCTAAAATAATCACTGTAAAAAAATGTTTATTGTGAAGAGATTAAAACATGGGATTATTTCTGAAGTAGGTGCTTGGTTTCTGGAGATCAATAAAGTTCCAGTTTCTTTCATAATTATTAAAAATACTTTGTATGTTAACCAATGACCCTCAAAGCAGGCAAAGACAGTACAAAGAAATTTAGAAACTACTACGAAAGTGATCTAACAAGAAGTCTAGCAACATACCTTTTATTTTTTGTTTTAGTCTCTTTTCTCTCTCCTGAATTTCATATTTGTCATCATAGTAGCAGATGAATGGAGATACTGGAGAGGGATCATACACTTCTCTTTCTGGACATTCCTATAAATTGTATTTAAAATTATGACGTCACATGGTCACACTGTTCAAAAACCTTTTTGCAAGATTCTGGAGCATGCTAATTAGAGATGAGCCCCGTATCACTGGTACCTCATGTGGTGGCTGTACGATATGGTCCTTGCTTGGGTGCTGCGAAGGTCACCCAGCCCTAAACCCCACTGTGCTTGTGATATTCTTTCAAGCTTGAGTTTTCTTCCCTTGCTTCATTACCTATGAAACCCTTCGTATCTTTTTTCAGCCCTCTCTGCCTTAACTCCTTTCACATTCTGAGGTAACAGCCTTGCCTCTCTGTTAAACCTCATATTAGTATTACTCCTTTGTTTGTCCATCACTTCCAACATCAAGTGCTTTTCTCTCTCTTCTTCCTAACCCCAAAATGTGGGTATAAGTTCTAAGCCCTTTTTTTTCCTAGATACAAGTGGTTTGCAAGCTTATTTTAACTCAACATTCACTGCTTACAGGGGTGGTGATTCTTTTTTTTTTTTTTGAGACAGAGTTTTGCTCTTGTTACCCAGGCTGGAGTGCAATGGCGCGATCTCGGCTCACCGCAACCTCCGCCTCCTGGGTTCAGGCAATTCTCCTGCCTCAGCCTCCCGAGTAGCTGGGATTACAGGCGCGTGCCACCATGCCCAGCTAATTTTTTGTATTTTTAGTAGAGACGGGGTTTCATCATGTTGACCAGGATGGTCTCGATCTCTTGACCTCGTGATCCACCTGCCTCGGCCTCCCAAAGTGCTGGGATTACAGGCTTGAGCCACCACGCCTGGCCCATGGAGTGGTGATTCTTACGGTGGGAGGTAGGTTGGTGGTAGGTTATGTCTAGCTTAAAATTGTTCCTAGGTAATTGAGAGACACCCCAAAGGAAGTTTTCTCTTCTTGCTTCCACCATCCAAGTTGAAATCCCTACTCTTACCCTTTTTCCCAGGACAGCTTCCTATTCTCATGACTCTGGCCTCTCGACAGCTAGTGTTTCCCAAATCCATAGTCTTTGGCCTGAACCACTCACTGCACAGCAGGCTTTTGCTTATGTGACACGTATCCATTCAGCATGTTTGAAATCTTTTCTTTTGGAACTTTCCCCTTTCTGCCTCTGCCATCTTAGCTAAGTAATGAAATACAATTAGAATATATTTTAAAGAGTAGGTGAAAAGTCCACATCAAATTTAATCAAATCTGAACTCATACTCAGATATCTGACCCAGCTAGTAGCCAAACATTTATGTACTTAATTTGTAGAGTTAAAAAGTTATGAATCATTCTAAGTATACTTAAGCATAAAAATTAAAAACCTGTAGTCACCACTCATATAAATAACTGACATTTTATCTTAGTTGCCTTCTGTTTTTCCCCCAAGAATAAAGTATTACTGATATAACTGAAATCCTCTGTGTAAGTCCTACCCATTTTGGACTCATCTTCTTCCCTTTCCAGAAATTACCACCATTAAGTTGAAGTCAGCCTTTCTCATGTGTTTTTATACTCTTACTGATTCCAATAAACAATAATATAAGTTTTAAGTTTCAGATTTTATAATTTTTATTTATTTTTTATAGAGGCAATGTCTTACTGTGTGGCCCAGGCTGGTCTCAGACTGGCTGCCTCAAGCGGTCCTTCCACCTCAGCCTCCCAAAGTGCTGAGAATACATGTGTGAACCACAGCGCCTGACCTTATTCAATGTCAATGGTTCGGTTGATTTGTATATATATTTTAGAGGTATTTGCATTTTCAGATTTAACTTTTAACTTTATGAAGTATTTGAAGTATTATAATTTAAAAAACATTTACATAGTATATTAAGTTACTTTACATTTACCACTCTTTGTTTATTAGCACCTTTTCTTTTAGTAGTTTTTCCAGAAGTTTCTCTTTTGTTTTGAAAAAAAATTTTCAAATAATCAGCTTTTGGTTTTGTTGCTGCTATTCATTTTTCTATTTCAGTAAGTTTGGTTCTAATCTTTTATCATTTAGGTTCTTTTGCTATCCTTAGATTTATCTGTTGTGACTATCTGGATTGTTTAGATATTTTTTGGGGGGTGGTGAGGGGAGGGTTCCTGGAGGTTATTTAGCAAACTTACCGGGTAATATAAAGAAACGCTTTTGGCTGGGTGTGCTGGCTCATGCCTATAATCCCAGCACTTTGGGAGGCCGAGGCAGGTAGACCACCTGAGGTCGGGAGTTTGCGACCAGCCTGGCTAGCATGGTGAAACCCTGTCTCTACTAACAATAGCAAAAAAAAAAAAAAAAAAAAAAAAAAAATTAGCCAGCATGCTGACACATGCCTGTAACCCCAGCTACTAGGGAAGCTGAAAAAGAACAGTTAGAACCTGAGGGGTGTAGGTTGCAGTAAGACAAGATTGCACCTTTGCACTCCAGTCCGGGCAACAAGGGAGAAGCTCCATCTCAAAAAGAGCAAATTATGATTATACAAAGGTACTAGAGGTCTTGATACTCAACTAATACTCATTTCAGCAGAATCTTTAACTCTCCCAACCTTTTCTCCCCTTTTTACACCTCTTACAGTAATCTTTGTACAATGACTACTGTTGTCCTTGCTTCCCAAACTAGACAGTGGGTGGAATTAGGGAAGGGCAATGTCATATTCACCTCAGATCTAGTCTTTCACATGAAGAATCCATTCAATAATAATATTTGTAAGGCTAGATTTCTGACATGGAAAGGAAGGGGGTCCACAGACATCTTTAACCACCTGCCTAGTACCCTATTTGGGTCTTATATAGCCTAGACTGATGTGACTACACAGAGCTACATAACACTACAAATGTTTTCCAAAGCTAAATGTAAATTTTATTTTGATTATCCACATCACTGGTCCCCTCCATTAGCACAGACAATTGATAGTTGGCTATATAATTTATCTATTATTCTGGATTAGCCACACCAATGATCTTCTTCATTAGTGTAAATAATCTAGCGTTCCTCATCTATGGCAGTCATGAGGCTACCAAATTTGCTTTATTGTAAATTAAAAATTATCTAAATCTAGATTTTAGGGATCAATTCCACATGCTTTTAATATATTTCGTATCTGCCTTAACAGAAGTGACTAGTAAGCATCCAACTGTAATTGTTTTTCTTAATTGAACAAACATAAATGCTAAAATTATACCCCTCTGCTTTAAGGAGGCAAGCAAGCATAAATTGTACATCTATGTGATTTGTGTGATAATGGAAGGTTTATGTGAGTATGTTCCCTAAAAGGTGTTGACAACATCTGAACGTTCAGTGACGAGGAATGTACAGGGCAGTAAAAGATCTAGAGATGGTAATTCTTTAAGAAGAAGTCTTCTCAGCTGGGCACAGTAGCTCACTTCTGTAATCTCAGCACTTTGGGAGGCTGAGGGGGGAGGGCTGCTTGAGGCCACAAGTTTGAGACCAGCCTGGGTATCCTAGTGAGACCTTGTCTCTACAAAAAATAAACAAAATTAGCTGGGCATGGTGGTGTGTGCCTGTAATCCCAGCTACTTGACAGGCTGAGGTAGGAGCAACACTTGAGCCTGGGAGGTTGAAGCTGCAGTGAGCTGAGACAATGCCCACTGCAGCCAGGACCCTGTCTCAAAATAAGTCTTCTCTACTTAGTGCTGAGAGATTTCCTGTACAACTTCTCTGCTTTAGAGATAAAGAAATGAGACCAAAGAGAAAATGTGGGCTGTTTACATCACATGGTTGAGTCAGTAGCAGAGAAAAAGTTAGAACTGAGGCTCAGAGCCTCATCCTAGCTTTCATAAGCTATGTCTCACCCCCATAGTTGCTGCTGCCCCAATATGGAAGATAAACCTGATCTGTTTATGGATTCTGTTCAGCCCTTTTCTTCACACATTGCCCTACAATGTAGGGTTCCAGCTCCCAAGATCTGCACCAGTGATGTGTCATAGTCGGAATTCAAGCGGTAACCTGCAATACCATCCACCCTATCCTACTGCTCATACTTCTCATTCTGAGGACTCTCAACGCTCTACATGCCTTCTGTCTCCTGACACCAGATCTGATTTACTATTAGTTTATCTTGGTTTCTAGGCTACTAGAAGCCTACCTGGTGACTGGGAATAATACATTCCTTTTTAATAATTTTGTACTTTCTGTGTCACTACCATTCCTCCATTGCCTCAAGATTTCCAGAAGTATGGGCTCTGAGCCTATTTATTCTTATTACATCCTTTCTCTGAAATGAGCTGCTGCTGTTTCACACTTAATGTGGTATCTGTCTAGTGGCCTCAAGTCCACCTCTCAGCAAGAAGCTTCTTCTGCTTTGACACCCCAGCATCTAGAACACACACAGTTTGGCTTTTTCAGTTGGGTTAGGAAATATGTTGGCTAGGCAGGGAATATGGGCATTTGTGGGGTAGGTGGGCAGGACCAGCCTGAGCAATACGGTAAAACCCTGCCTCTACTAAAAACACACAAATTAGCTGGGCATGGTGGCAGGTGCCTGTAGTCCCAGCTACTTGGGAGGCCGAGGCAGGAGAATCACTTGAATATGGGAGGCGGAGGTTGCAGTAAGCTGAGATCACACCACTGCACTCTAGTCTGGGTGACAGAGCAAGACTCTGTCTAAAAAACAGAATAAAAGAAAAGAAAAGAAAAGAAAAAGTCATGCTACTATGGCTGTGTCAAAGCAATTGTGTTTATAAGAACTCATGAGAACCACTATCATACTGTCGACTATTATTATTTGACTGACTGATTTTATGAATGATAGTAGTTTTATCCCAACCTGTTCATGTACATGTAACATGATTAGAGGAATATACTCTCATAGCTTCTTACTCTAGCAGGGAGGGGAGGGGTCAATCAGTTGGAAATATTAAGTCTTACCTCAGAATGTTTATTAAAAAGTAAGCATTTAGAGTTACATTCTTTTTGAGTTCATCTTTCAGAAAACACTCCCTGACAACAGAATGCTTTACGCCTGAATGCCACTCAAACTTACGTGTCCATAATGGCCTTTCTGCGCGCAGTGATAGCAATATGCTAAGGCTGATGGTCTTGAAGGGGTCTTCGGCTTTTTGGGTGGTCCAGGTTTGGTCTGCAACATGAATATTTGTGAGGGTTTGTTGATGTTAGAAGAAAATTAAAACCTCATTCTTTCCAAAAGAGCTTTATAGGTGAGGGATTCCTTAGAAGTACTGCCTCTTAGAGTTTAGTATGGAGATATATATTCAGATGATTCCATATATTAAAATACATAACACGGTAAGAACAATTCTTTTACTTTTAATGTCCATGTGTGCTTTCTTCTCCTTCCTCCCTCCTCATTCCATTCGGCATTGTGCCAAGTACTGTGTTCGGTATCCAACACAGTATAATGGGCCAGGAGAACATGGCAGACATATACATAATTACAAAACAATGTCAATACAGTGACAATAGTATATACAAGGCATTAATGGAGTGGTGAGGGGACTCCCCCACCAGCAGATGAGGCTAAAGGGGGTCAGAGAAAGTTTTCCTGAAGGTGTAAAATTTACATTTACTCTAAAATTAGGTGTAAATCAAATGGAGAATCTTGGGCAGAGGGAAGAGCATGAACAATGACATAGAAAGAGCATACATGCTGCCAAAATATCACATACATAGCCAGGTAGAAATGGAAGACACGGCTGGAGAAAGAAGGACACAAGAATGGAGGGCCTTGTAAGTCAAGCAAAGGAACATGAGCTTTATCCAATTTTAAGTGTCAAAGTTAGGAGAGTTAGAGTTGTAGTTTGGAAAAACCATTTTGCCTTGTAGCTAACAAGGGTAAATATGAGCAGGAGAAGGTTAGATGTAGTGAAAAAGACTAATGAGGTGGCTGTTAGAAACTGCAAGTAAGGGGATGAGAACCTAGACTGGGAAAGAGGAAGAGATGTGGGAAATATATTAAGAAATAAAATTGGGTCGGGTGCAGTGGCTCACACCTGTAATCCCAGCACTTCAGGAGGCCGAGGTGGGCAGATCACAAGGTCAGGAGTTAGAGACCAGCCTGGCCAGCACGGTAAAACCCCATCTCTACAAAAAATACAAAAATTAGCTGGGCATGGTGGTGTATGCCTGTAATCCCAGCTACTCGGGAGGCTGAGGCAGGAGAATCACTTGAACCTGGAAGGTGGAGGTTGCGGTGAGCGGAGATCACACTACTGCACTCCAGCCTCGGTGCCAGATCAAGACTCCATGTCAAAAAAAAAAAAAAAAAAAGACAAGACAAGACATAAAACTGGTATCAGCTGGTCATTGAAAAGAAGATGTGGGGAATGAGGGAAAGGAAAAATCAGGATGCCTCCAGATTTTGAACTTGGGTGAGCCAGTAGGTGGTGGTGCCAATAACTGATTCAGAAAAAGCAGAAAAAGGAAAGAGGAGAGAGTTTAGAGGGAATAATGATGAAGACTGTCTTGAATGTTGAGTATCTAGGTGGGGATCTCCAGGAGGCACTTTCTGTGTAGAGACAGAGCTGGAGTCTGAGCTGAAGAGTAGATCTGAAAGTAATTGGCATAAAAGTGAAGGCTGAAATCACCAGTATGGACAGGATCACCATGGACAGTGTAACAGTGGCTGTGGGCTGAGGAAGAAATTCTGAAGACATCAATGTTTAAGGGGCAGGCAGAGGAGCCTGTGAAATGGACAGAGAAGGAAAGGTTAAAGGATGCAGACATAGGAGAATATAGTAACAGACCTTAGAGAGTTGTTTCAAGAAGGATGAACTGATCTACATTGTCAACTATAGCAGAGAGGCCTAGTGAGATTAGGACTGAGAAACATCCATTCGAAGTGGCAACTGCTCACAGATAACCTTGTTGTGAAAATTCTGAGATATTATAGAAAGAGTACAAGGCAGCAGGATGAGCAGTAAAGAGATGCATACAAAGGTGGTAAAACTATAAAAAGAGCAAAGATATCATTACTCATAAAAGCCAGGATTAGCAAACCTAACCTGGAATTTTTTTTTTCCTTTAAAGCCAGGTTACTTCCAGTGAGGAGAAACAGCACACAGGATTTTGGCACAGCTGCAATTTTCTGTTACTTCAACATGGTGACAGTTAACTTGGATGTGTCTTACATGACTAATTTATTCTTTTGTACATGTATTCTACATACTTTTCGGTATGTATATTAGGTTGGTGCAAAGGTAATTATAATTGCAGTTTCTGCCATTTAATAGCAAAAATCTCAATTACCTTTGCACCAACCTATTATTTCAGAATAAAAAATGTTTTAAAAAATTGAATGGAAGTTATAGGAGAGAGAAGTTATATACTGAGAGCATGAAGGGGCAGACTAAGATGAAACAGGACCCAGGAAGGGGTGGAGTCTATTTATAAGATGGGAAAGACAGTGGAGGTGGAGAAGTTGAAACCAGAGGAGGAATGGAGATGATGGACACTGTAAGACCTCTGAGGAGGTGGTGGCTGTAAACAGGAGGAGAAAAACCTAATCCCTGCACAGCCCCACGCTTTGTGGAGACTGGAAGAAAAGTTAAGGATGGGCTTAAATGTGGATCACTTTATTTCTTATGTTCTTTACTGCGACTCTTTTTAACAAAGAGTAGTAGTCTGCCAACTAATTGTTTTTTGTTTTTTTGTGTTTTTTTTGGACAGGGTCTCCCTCTGTTGCTCCAGCTGGAGTACAGAGGAACAGTCATGGGTCACTGCTGCTTCGACCTCCCAGGCTCAAGCAATCCTCCCAGTTCAGCCTCCTGGGTAGCTGAGACCACAGGGGTGCACCACTATGACTGGCTACTTCAATTTTCATATATATATATTTTTTAGTTTCTGGTAGAGACAGGGTCTCACTATGTTGCTCAGGCTGGTCTGGAACTCCTGGGGTCAAGTGATCTTCTCACCTTTGCCTCCTAAAGTGCTGAGACTGCAGGCATGAGCCACCATGGCCAGTTCTAATACTGTTTCTTCTTTGAGACAGGGTCTTGCTCTGTTGCTCAGGCTGGAGTGCAGTGGCACAATCTCAGCTCACTGCAACCTTCACCTCCTGGGCTCAAGCAATCCTCCTGTTTCAGCCTCCTGAGTAGCTATGACCACAGGCGCATGCCACCATGCCCAACTAATTTTTGTATTTTTAATAGAGATGGGGTTTTGCCATGTTGCCTAGGCTGGTCTCAAACTCCTGGGGTCAAGTGAATTATTTGCCTTTGCCTCCGAAGTGCTGGGATTACAGGTGTGAGCCAATGTGCCCAGGTCCCCCAGTTTTTTTTTTTTTTTTTTTGAGACGGAGTTTCGCTCTTGTTACCCAGGCTGGAGTGCAATGGCGCGATCTCGGCTCACCGCAACCTCCGCCTCCTGAGTTCAGGCAATTCTCCTGCCTCAGCCTCCTGAGTAGCTGGGATTACAGGCACGCGCCACCATGCCCAGCTAATGTTTTGTATTTTCAGTAGAGATGGGGTTTCACCATGTTGACCAGGATGGTCTCGATCTCTTGACCTCGTGATCCACCCGCCTCGGCCTCCCAAAGTGCTGGGATTACAGGCTTGAGCCACCGTGCCCAGCCCCCAGTTTTGTTTTTAATGTTGCTAACAGGTGGTTTGTGAAGGTTTTATTTCCTTGACATAGGAAAATAATAAATAGGTCATAAAAATCTTCTTCAGGTCGGGCGTGGTGGCTAACGCCTGTAATCCTAGCACTTTGGGAGGCCGAGGCAGGTGGATCACCTGAGTTCAAGACCAGCCTGACCAAGATGGAGAAACCCTGTCTCTACTAAAAATACAAAATTAGCAGGGTATGGTGGTGGCCAGTGCTATCCCAAGAACAGACATCAAGGTAAGTGTTACAGCCTGTTGTGTGAACACCTGTGGGTCTTGCCATGTGCCTTTCCTATTCCTGAGTGCATATACCACTGGGAAAGTAAACCTTCTGGTGTCAAGGAGTCAGAAGCAAGATGTTTTATGATTTCAATATTTTTGATTAGAAAAATCGGAAGTTCTGCCAGGCGCAGTGGCTCACACCTACAATCTCAGCACTTTGGGAGGCCAAGACAGGCAGATCACCTGAGGTTGAGAGTTCAAGACCAGCCTGACCAACATGGAGAAACCCTGTCTCTACTAAAAATACAAAATAGCAGGGCATGCTGGTGCATGTCTGTAATCCTGGCTACTCAGGGGGCTGAGGCAGGAGAATCGCTTGAACCTGGGAGGCGGAGGTTGCAGTGAGCTGAGATTGCACCATTGCACTCCAGCCTGGGCAACAAGAGCAAAAATCCGTCTGAAAAACAGAACAAACCAAAACAAACAAAATAAAACAAAACAAAACTGCTTCAAACAACTTTGCTTTCAGCTCTTATTCCCTAAAATGAAAAACTGTAGCAAAACAATAACCTCAACAATCTTTTCTACTGAAATAATAAAAGCTACAAAAAATAGAATTTACAACCTCAGCTATTATCAATTAGGGTATAATAAAAATAACACGTGTTTTATATTCTTCAATTAAAATTGGGGTTCATAAATTAGTACTAGCTAAGAGACATTAAACAGAGGTTTTTTTCTTTGTTTTTGAGATGGAGTCTTGCTCTGTCACCCAGGCTGAAGCAGTGGCATGATCTTGGCTTATTTGCAACCTCTGCCTCCTGGGTTCAAGCGATTCTCCTACCTCAGCCTTCAGAGTAGTTGGGATTACAGGCACGCAACACCATGCCCTGCTAATTTTTGTATTTTTAGTCCCAGCTACTCTAAACTGATAATCTCTGCTACTAATTGAGGACATGAGAAAAAGTTTCATGGAATTTCTCTGAATTTAGTTATTTTATTGCCTAAATTTGAGGAAACAAGAGGGAGTTCTCATGTATTTATCCCTTAATAGGAATTTTTAATTCAAAACATTTGAGTTCCTATTTTGTACAACACATTGTAAAAGACACTGTGAGGAACACAGAGATAATAGATGAAAGAGCTAATATAGTAAAGATTGTAAAAGATGAAAGCACTAGGGAGGCTGAGGCCTACAAAATGGAATTAAGTATGCATCAGGTACGTATTTTCTACTTAAAACTGCATCAGCATTTCTTCTGAGATGAGGTTAGGCCAGATTCTGAAAGAACAAATC